GTCTTACATATGCCAGGCAAGCACTTTACCATTTACAGCCCTAAATTCTAATATTTCTTAAATTGAATCAATTTTGCCTCTATTTTCCCAATTTGCTTCCCTTTATTGTTCTTGTCCTAGAGAGACCTAGTTTTTCTCCCAGTTGCTCAAGCCAGAAAGGTGGGCATCAATTTTGACTACTCCTTCTACATCATCCCTGACAACCAATGAAGTGACAACATAGTAGATCCTATCCCTGAAAAATATTTAACTCCCAGTCACTTCTCTCCATTGCTTACTGTCACTGTCCTGATGTCCCTATTTTTCATCTTCTAGCCCCTTCTTTTCCTTGCAGCCAGAATATTCTTTATAAATTCAACTCTGTTATCAGGTCACTGATTAAAGCCCTTCAATCCTTCAACATTTTGAGGATGAAACATAAATCTTTAAACAAAAATGTCTTCAGTCTCATCTCTCACAGCTTAAAATTGACCTCCAGACATACTGTGTTACTTCAGCTACTCTAAAGATCTCTCCACTACCACATTTTCCAGACCTCTGGATAGTCTTACCTGGACTATTATGCTATTGGTTCCTACCACTATTCTGGTGCCCAATCCTTCTACACTTGGCTTATCCTTTATGTCTCAATCATGTCTATTAGGACCCTTTCCAGGCCCATCAAATATGGACTGAGAGCACTTTCTATCTAAACCAAGGTATCTTTAATTTCTGTCACAGAATTACCCATCACACTATATTGAAAAAGCCTATTTGCTTATTTGTATCCTGGACTCAACTATAAATTCTATGAGGATCGGGACTAAATCTCTTACTTATCATTATACCTTAGCAATTCTTGATGCTTAAAGAAGATTTGGAAAGAAAAAAGGAAGAACATGGAAGAAAAGTAGGAATGAAGGAAGGAAGAGAGGAAAGGAGGGAGGGAAAACTCAAACCATTACAAATTATTTTCTCAGAGAATGTGGTGATCATTGTATAAAAGTCCCATGAAAAGGCTTTCCTAGGATATGACGACTTGGGCTTAGGAAAACTCTACTAGTGACTAAACCAATAGAAACTAATTTATTCATCACTTGGAAGAAAAGCCCTTGCTTAGTACATCTAGACACAAGACTCCAATCAACTTCAGAATTTCCAGCCCAGTCCAGCTCAGTCAAGAAAGAGCAAGAATGTCTAGTCCCGCTGCTGCTGGACCAAGTCAGCCTCATGCTCTTTTTTTCCAACTTCTCTGGCTTAAATAATAACAGACTAATGAAGGAAGGAAGGGCTGTCTATGTTCTGAAAGCAGATTTATAGATTGATCAGAAATAATGATCATAGTCAAGCTCGTAAATAATTTTAAAGTATGCTATGGATATCAACCTAATTGATGCACAGAACAAATGACATCTGCACTCATTTAATTGCAGGACAAAGGATCCATGTTATTAAAACTAACCTTGAGACGTTTAACTGGAGGAAGAGTTGAAACAGCATTTCTGCTTCTTAGGTCAGATAAGTATGAAGACATTGCTGACTCTTTAATTTCTGACTTTTGTGCAACTCCAATTTTACCTGTCAAATAAATTTTAGATTCTTTTCTGTTGCTGTTATTTTTTTTTTAAGACAGGGTTTTGCAATGTAGCCCAGACTCTCCTTCAACTCACGATCTTCTCACCTTAGCCTCCCAAGTGCTAGATTATAAATGTGCAACAATATGGCTGGTGAAATCTTAGATTCTTTACATTATTACGTTTTAGATATCACCAAAAACCCCTAAATTTCCTCAAATTTTCAAATATAACATTTACTTTATTTCATGCTGTTCCCCAAAAGAAGGAAAACTATTTGGAGAGTTATAAGTTGAGTGAGATAAACAACATATATAATTAGGATATCATTATTATTATTCATCCAAGACCTTTTAATTTCGAATGCCTGAAATAAACTTATTTCCCAGAACTCACAGCAGTCATGTCCACACGTATGTTTATTTTTACAATGATGATTGCATTCTCTGTTCCCAGGTTTTTTGCAGGCAGCTGTTCCTAAATTAACATAAAAAATCCATTTGTTATTACCTACTATTATAAATTTAATACGAATAACTTGAATCCACTTTGTTTTCCCTTAGGAGGGATTGTGACTTTCAAGTTTTATCAAATGCTAACCTATACAATTTAAAATGATGTTTCTGGGGCTGGAGAAATGGCTCAGTGGTTAAGAATACTGGTTGTTCTTGCAGAAGACTGGGGTTCAAATCCCAGCACCCACATGGCAGCTAACAGCTGTCTGTAACTCCAGTCCCAGGGAATCCAACAGTCTCTTCTGATCTCTGCGGGCATTGCATGACACGGGTGCACTTACCTACATGCAGGCAATACACACATACACATAAAATAAAAATAATAAATAAAAAATTTTAAAAAATTATGTTTCTTACAACAGTCCCTGTCTCACCACTAGTCCCATCCCAACTTTTCACACAGAGCATCTGGCCACCTGTAGCTTCTTTCAACTTCTCTAATATAAACAGAGCCAAATGTAGAATACTAGTAATAAGTTTTGTCTTTAAGAAGGTAAGAATGAAGGTGGGGATTTAAAACTTTTATACTTAAGTCTGGGAACTGGAAACAAGCAAATTTTATGACATTTTGATGGCACCTGAACTAGTTAGTAGATAAGCTATCCTACATATTAGTAAATATTGTAAAAAATGCTTTAGGGACATACAAATTTACTCTAAGAATTCAAAGAAAGGAAAGATTGCTTCCATCCTGGCTTCTCTAAACTATAATTAATGTATCCAAATATGTAATTTATTCATTTATTATGTGTGTGTGTCTTTTCTGTTGTTTTGTTACTTATAGTACTAGGGATTGAACCTAGGGTCCTGTGTATTTTTTCTACTTTTTATTTTGAGAATCTCATTAAGTTGCCTAAGCTGGCCTTGAAGTTACTCTAGTCCAGTCAGGCCTTGACAGATAGAGGGCACAATACTCAAAGGCAGCAAACCACAGATTATAGAAACTAACACCAGCTTATCTTTGCTAGAACACAAATTTTAAGTGACCTAGAAATGTTGGACAGGTTTAAAGACCTTTACAAACACTTTTGGCCTTTTCATTTTAGTGTCATTATTCAACCAAGTTTTTTCAAGTCACAGTACATCTAGACACTGACAATATATCTGTACCGGCTTGGAATAAATGGATGCTCACTACACAAGGCAAGTATTTGGTCTCTTTGAGAAATGAGCGGGTCAATACGTTAAGTACTGTTACGGTTTATATATGAAATACCTTCCCCACAAAGCTCATGTATTGAAGACCTGATCCCTGATACAATCATTGAGAGGCAACTGATCAATGAGGGCTCTTGCCTTCATCAGTGAACTAATTCATCAATGGATTCATAAATTATGTCATTATGGGGAGGTGCTGGGAGGTAGGGCCTGGTTCTAAAAGGCCACTGAAAGAATGCCTTCAAGGATTTAGCTCATCCCTGGTTCCTACCTGTCTCTTTCTGTTTCTAGTTGCCCTAAGATATGCAGGCCTACCATACCCTTTTACCATATGTGATGCCTCACCACAGGCCCATAAACAATGGAGCCATCCAGCATAGACCAAAAGCTCTGAAACTGTGAACTCAAATAAATCCTTTCTCTTTTAAATTGTTTCAGGTTTTTGTCACCATAACAAAATCGGACAGAGTATATTAGTTGTCTTTTGGCTGTGACAAAATACCTGGCAAAGGGCTGGAGAGATGGCTCAGCAGTTAAGAACATGCACATCTCTTCTACAAGAACTGAGTTGAGTTCCCAGCACCCATACTGGACAGCTCACAACCACATGTAACTCCAGCTTCTGGGGAATCTGTTGTCTCTGGCTTCTGCAGGCACCTGAATGCATGTGCACATACCCACACACATATGCATAATAATAAAAATAAATCATTTTAAAATACCTGACAAAAACAACTTAAGGAAAGAAGGCATTTTGTGTTACCATCTGAGGGTGAGGTCTATCATGGTAGGGAAGACATGATTGTGAGAGTGGCTCTAGTTGTGGCTACAGGAACATGGAGCATCTGATCACATTGCATCCATAGTCAGAAAGCAGAGAGAGATGAATGTTGGTGCTCAGATGGCTTTCTCATTTTTCCTGTTTTATTTAGTTCAGGACCCCAGCCCATGGGATGGTGCCACCCACATTTGGGGTAGATCTTCCCTCTAAGTTAAACCTCTCTGGAAACACTCTCATAGCTACATCCAGAAATGCATTTCCTAGGTGTCTGCAAATCCAGTCAAATTCACAGTGAAGATTACCCATCAAACATAGGTACTCATAGAATAACAAATAATAATAACAACAGTAAATTCCTGGTATCTGAAAGTAGACAGTTAAACCACAGCAGTCTCAATTGAACATCACTTTGAGAATATAAACAATACTCAGATAAGGCCACTCTAAGACCGCGAGTGGAAGATAAGATTGCCATGTAATTACTTTTGAACTAGAGACAAGAATGCTCAAGAACCACTAAAATAATGGAACATCCCCATCTTCTGGCTAATACAAATGATTACTGTTAAAAAAAAATCTATTTCCAAAATAAAAAAAGTATCAAAAATAGTGGTGATGGTAGTAGGGTTAGAAAAAATTAGCTAATTTGAGGCAAATAGAAGGTAAAAATATTTTTATGCAGAATTAAATGGAGTGCTTTTCTTTATTGGGCAACATATTGCTTTCCTTAAAGTTTTATTTCTTTCCTTTTTGCCTAGTAATATCTATCTTGTTTCCTTCTTTGTTTCTTTGCGTTTTAAAAAATATTTTTTTACTTATGCCTGTGTGTGTATGAATGAATATGTGAGTGTCTGCACACATGTGTGTGCAGGTGCCCATGGAGACAAAAACAGGGAGTTGGATCCCTTGGAGTTATAGACATGAGCCACCTGAAATTGGTGCAGGGATCTGAACTCCAGTTCTCATGTTTAAGCAGCAAGTGCTCTTAACTATACAGCCACCTCTCCAGTCCTACCTGAAAGTCTATTCAATATTCCAGTGATGAAAGAAGAGGAAACGTCTCTTCCCCTAGATAACTTCTACATGAATCCTCTCTTCCTTCTAATGCAATGGAAGCCTGTCCTATTGATGCCACCCTGAAACTTCCTTTCATAAAGCTCTTGAGATAAACCCACCGTAACTGGATTCTTTGACTTTTTCTTTCCTGGTTAACTCCCTTGTTTTACTGGTCCTTGTTTTTAAGCAACTTTCTGAACTTTTGAACTTTATTTTAGCATTTATTCAAGAGTTTAGTTGGATTTAGAAGACAAAATTGAAGAATCATTTATTCCCTAGAATTTTATAGTCTCTGATAATATCCAGTATTGCTGATAAAAACCACTACAAGAAGGCTTTTTTTTTTTTTCCTTTTTTTGGTCTTTTTGAGACATGGTATCCCTGTAATCCCTGTAGTCCCAGCTGGCCTGGGACGCACTATGTAGACCAGGCTGGCCTTGAACTCACAGAGTTCTGCCTGCCTCTGCTTCCCGAGTGCTGGGATTAAAGGTGTGCACCACTATACCCAGCAGCATGATTTTTATTCATTGGGAACATTCATGACTTTTTGAAATGCTACAGTGATGCCTTGTTAGTAATCTTCTTCCATTCATCTTAATTAACAGTATATGTTCTTTTTTGAGTGCGGATTTATGTCCCACTTCAGGTCTAGAAAATTTTCTCTATTTTTCTTCTGAATTTTATTTTTTCTAGAACACTTGTTAGTCAGATACTAGGTTCCTAGATTGTCCCTGTTGTTTCTTTTAGCTTTTTGCTTAAATCTAGACTCTACTAACTTTATCTCCAGTGTGTTTCCAGACATAGATTTTACTTCATTGTACCAATTCTTGTTCTTTTCATTACTCTTATTATTACATTTTATTGTTGCAATTTCATGTTTAATGTCTTGGAGATCATTATTTTCATATTAAGTTTTACTACTTTATGGAATTATGTTGCTCTTTCATCCACTTTTTTTTGCTTTTGAAAATTTACATATTCCACATTTTCCTTAAATAGCTGGTCATGCTTGGTCATCTGCCTATAAGGTATTCCTATTATATTATTACTTCACATGTGAAAAACTCATTCAGATGTTGAGTATACAAACTATGGATTCAGTTAGTGGAAAATTGGAGCCTTTAATTTCTGAAATCTACTTCCAGAGCCTTATCTTTCAACCATTCTGTCTCTTGAGTTATATTAGCTGTGTTAGTTCTTATTTGGGGGATGAGAAGACTAGGAGGAACTCCCTTATAAATTGTTCTTTTTGACATAAGCAATTGTGTCTATACCAATTTCTTTTTAAATATATTTTATTGAATTTTTGTGGATTTCATACATCTTAATCATATTTAGCCCCCTCTTCCCTCTCTGTACCCCCCAGAGCCCACCCACAGGACTTCAAGTATTTTGTCATATATGTTAAGGCCTATTGACCTATGTTTGTTTGTGTACCCAAATGTCCCTTTGTGAGTTTATCACTGGAGGCTCATGATCCTGTCTAGCATCACTCCCTTAAAAAAGATTGCAAATTAAAACCACTTTAAGATTTCATCTTACCCCAGCCAGACTGGCGTGTGTGTCTCTTAATCTGATTTCTAAAAACATGCATTTTGAAACTTTGCCACAAGATGGTGCACAATGACTGCATACACACATTTGCTCCCCTTAGCAAAACCTAGTCAGGATCTGCAAGCCTAATAGAGATTCTGGGGGTTCACCACATTCAAGGCCAGGTTCAAAAATCTTGTCAGGAATGAGAACTGTATGCTCTATCTATTGGATGGAATATTTCTGTAGATATCTGTTAAATCCAGTTGATCAATGGTATAATTTACCGTTTTTTGTTTTTTTGTTTTGCAACAGGATCTCCTTATAGCTCCACCTGGCCTAGAACTCACTATAGAGAACAGGTAGGACTCAGTCTCACAGAGATTTGCCTGCCTCTGCCTCCTGAGTGCTGGAATTAAGGGTGTGTACCACTA